TTGAACTCTGGTTAATGAAATGCATCCTGAAGTATTTAAAGATAAAGTGAACTACTCTCTGTAATTTACTTTGAAAGGCATCAAAAAATAAGATGGATGGATGGATGGGTGGAAGACTGGATAGACAGGCAGATACATGATAGGGCAAGCACAGCACACTGTTAATTATAGAATCTAGATGGTAGATATACAGGTGCTTATAATGATGTTATTTCAAATTTCCTGTAGGTATGAATATTTTTGTAATAAAATCCGGGGGGGGGGGAGTTACACATGTGCACGATGAAACTCCGTCAGGACACAAGGAGGGTGAGTGAGCGGACCTACAGCCTCCTCATCCCCGACCCACTCTGCTCCCAGGGGGTTTAATCGCGGCAAACACTTCCTTGGCTGCGCTCCCAGAAAGCACTGCTTCTGCAGTAATCATCGAACCGCACGACGTGCTGCCCTTTGTCCCCCCATCCCTCGTGAACGTGTCTTGGAGGTTTTTCCACGTCAGTACATATAGTTGCAGTATTTCGTTTCACAGGCTGTGTCCTGCCACAACTCTTCCCCTTGTCTCCGGGAATGGGCATCTCGCTCACGTGAGTTTGCTCCCCCATCAGGGCCCTAGTGGTGCCTCCCAGCTATTCCTGCAGCAGCTCTGACCACTCTGTCATGAAAGACAACATGAGAACATGCCACAGAGGGTTTTACCTTGAGGTGCAGGGGCTGGCCTCTTGCCCCTCGGAAAGTTAGTCATTGGCTGTAGACTAAGGGGGTGGGAGACTCCTGTCAGCGGAAGGCAATTCCCTAGAGAAGGGGGAGGCTGTGAGTTGTTGGTGGTGAACACTGACAGCTTCTGGGAGTTAGTGCCCAGTTGGGGTGATCTGGCTGGGGCAATGCCGGTGTCCACAGTCCACTTCTTGCATTGCTGGAATGGACTCACTTTTCCCAGTAAGTTCACTCTATCCAGGCCCAGCTGCTCCAGGACTCCAGGTGGCCATGGTTGTAGACTGAATTGCATCCTCCCAAACTGAAATGTTGAAGTCCTAATCCCCGGGACCTCAGAATGTGCCTGTACTGGGAGATAGGGCCTTTAAATAGGTGATTATATTCAAGCAGGGATGTTACAGTGGGACTGATCCAGTCTGGCTGGGACCCTTATGAGGAGAGATGATTAGGACAACACCCCGAGAGGCATCGAGGGCATGTATGCCTGAGGGGCGACTGTGTGAACGGGCGGTAAGAGGGCAGCTGTCCACCAGCCAAGGAGAGAAGCCTCAGAGGGAACCGATCCTGGCGGTGCCTTGATCTTAGACTCCAGGCTCCAAAACCGTGAGAAAATAGATTTCTGTTGTTTAAGCCATTCAGACTATAGCATTTCATGATGGCAGCCCTAGCAAACTGACAGAGTCATGCTTATGAGAAACTTACAATGCTAACTAGAGTCCCCGTTGAGCCAGGAGGCCTTAACTGATAGTCATAATCTTCCTCCTCTACTCTCCATTCTATTTGTCCTACTTCTCAGCCCTTCTGCTGGCCCAAGTGGCAGGTTGGTCACCTGAATGGATGGAACTCGTTGTTGATCCCTGTTGCTGACAGGCCATACATTGAGTGATATTGATTGTGACAGCCTTGGTGTCCCCAATCTTTAAACCTTGCTTCTTCTAGGTCCCTGACTAAACTATTAAGTCATTTGCCTCAGCCTATGACACTATAAATATCTGTCCACTTCTCTCTTTTCTCAAAGGGGATGACCAAGCGTGCAGCCTGCAGCTCTGCGCGCTGGGAGGATTTCCTCTCCTTCCTGCCTTCCTGCATCACTCCAAGCGGGGCTGTAGTGGAACAGCATCCGTTTTGAGCTTGTAGCAACATACTGAGCCGACCTGTCCATGAACAGAGCTCAGGGCTTTTCCCTCCTCCATCAGCTGGTCACAGCGGATGCCTCACTGGTGTGAGCTGAGATAGAAGTGTTGGTGCAACACTGGGTGGCGCCATGGGCCACGTGGGCGGTCCCGGCCACCTATTCGTGCAGCTCACTTATGCCCACCGGGCCTTCTTGAGCCCAAATTAGATGTGCCACTTCTCCCTGAGGATGGATTGTTGTCAGTCCTGCCTGACCTCTGACTCGGAGAATAACAGTACCTAATGCATGATGGGAAGTTCTGGCCACATAGTCACTTGAGTGAGGCCTATGGCTGTGTGCCTCTTCTCTACCAGAGCCCAGGAACATGTCCAGAGCTGTTTTTCTAATAGTGTGCTGTTCTCTGCTGAAGATGGCATGGCCTCCCTCCAGAACTTTAGCGCTCTTCTCTGTGACTCACTCATTGGGGTTGGTCAGAAAATCCACAATGGCATCTTCATCTAGCACAGGTACTTCTAGTACCATGAAGTCTGCCCGGTCACATGGCTCAAGTGGCAGTGCTGCTTGGACTTCAGCCTGGAGCTGCTGCACAGCCATGTATTACTCTGCCCTCCCGCCCCCCCGCCCCACCCCTTAAATCTAGCCCAGAAGAGATGCTCAGTAAATATTCCCCTCTGGGTAGGGAGAGGATGGAGTACAGGGTGAGAGTGATAAATGCAAATGCTTGCAGAGTGAGGTTACCAGAAAAAACACAGGAAGCTCATTTAAATTTGAATTTTAGATAAAAGATGAACAATTTTTTTTAGTTTTAGTATATGCCATGCAATATTTGGGAATACTTACATTAAAAATCATTCATTATTTATCTGAAATTCAGACTTAACTGGTGTCTTGAATTTTTATTGGTAAATCTGGCAACCCCATTTTAGGGGCCAAGCATTTAATAACGTAAGATGACTTGATGTGATGAGGGTGGGGAAAATGGTGAAAGCATTTATAATTAGCACCCAGTTGGAGAATAATCAGCATTTAAAGAAATTTAAAGTAAAAATGGAATGCTCATGAATTTGTAACCCCTGGCAAAAAGCTTGAGCTCTAGTTTGACTTCCAGAATTTGAAGTCAATCCTGGATCCACTGCTCACAAGTTGTACGACCTTGAGCCTTAGCATTCTCATGTTCATGAGTATTAAATAGAATCCTGCATTTAAAGGACTGAGCAAGGTACTGGTCCTATCATTAATGCTAAATAAATGTTAATCTTCAAGCTGACTGCTGGGTTGCTATGCAATAGTTCCCTCTAGTGGTCATAGGGCATATATGCAAGTGCTGGTGCAAGGCTAGGATCCTGCAGGTCTTGGCTCAGGGTATCTGGTAGCCAGGCTAGTCAGGCACTGGAGGACCAGTCTGTAAACTCCCTACATTCCAGTCATTCACATACTACCTTTACAATTTATACCACATACCAGCCACATAAACTATTTACTAATTCTCCTTTATTCTCTTTTAAACTGTGTCACTATCTTTGAAGAAATCTATTATAATAGGAAATGTTACAATTTTCAGTTAAAAGCCCAGCATCAACTTTCAGAAATAGAAATTAACCACAAGTAGATACAAGTGAAACAAAAAAGTGTTCACTTTTCCAGGATATTGTAGTGAAAAGAATAACTGGAGGATCTCTCTCTATTCCCCCCCCCCCCGCCGATGATGAAATGAGGCTCAAATAATTTGCTTCAGAAACTGTTCCAGGAAATAGTTGGCATGAGTGATGATAACAGCTATGTTTCTTGAAACCTCACTACATGCCAGGCACTGTGATAGGCCCATGTTTTACATGCATTAGCTGATTTAATCTCCACAAACTCCCTCTGGGATGTGGGTTTTTGCAGACAAGGAAACTGGGGCTCAGAGTGTCTGGCCAGGGGAATGTGAAGGAAGTGATGTATGCATGCTACTTTTCAGCCTGGCCCTTAGTAATGTCCTGCCCATTTGCCAGTCCTCACTGCACTGTCTTGGTGACCATGGAGGTCATGCATTTCAGATGGTGTAGCTCCAAAATGGAGCATGGAGTAAATGTGTGAATCATGAATCCAACTTTATAGTGTTAGGCCACTGGGGTTTCAGGGCTCTTTTGTTACTGCAGCACAGATTTGCTCTGTTCTGACTAATACTGTGGCAATTTATATTACATTTTGAAAAAGGTAAGCAAATTCTGAGACATTACTATTCCGGATAATTATTAGAAGAAGGTAGCAGGTGGTAGAGAAACAGTTGAGGTGTGATGATGCGTTCAGGTCAAGACTTGGGAACGAAGAAGGAGTCTGAGACACAGTATACTCAGAATGTTGTGAGTAAAGAGGGTTGGGGGGCGCACAAGAGAGGTCAAACAAGTCAAGTGGTTGAAGTTTGAAATTAATGATTGAGCAGAGACGTGAAGCATGTTGTAAGGGCAAGAACTCAAGCACTTTTCCTCCTTTCCACTGGCTGCCATTTGAGATAGGTGTAGCTCTGAATGGCTACATTCATTGTTCAGAACTTGCAGTTCTGAACTCTGTGACTGTCCTCCCATGATGCCCTGTTGGTTGGTGGCAATAGTGTGTGCAGACAGTGGTGGGTCTGGACATGATGACAGATGTTTGGCAGGGGTTGAGAAATGTCACCCTGAACCTGCTCACTTTCACAAGGTCAGTGGGGTCTCCTAAAGAACAAGGGACAAGATTTCTGTGAAATCTGAGGAGTTTCAGTCCTTGGTTTGTCCTTTTGCCATTCTGTGGCCGTGTGCAAGTTGTTCACAGATATCCCAAGGCTCAGTGCTCTCATGTTTGGAGTGACAGAGTTGGGCTTGTCCTAGAAGGACCTCAAATAATGATAACATATTTATTTTTTATTTGAAGGGACAATCTTCACCATTTTGGTTAGCCCTGTTTTTCCTTCTTGCATTCAGTTTTTTCATAAATCTTATCTGTGTTAACAGTCTCGATATCCTTGGTCCCTTTTTCTTAGTTCCTTTAAATCTGTCTTCTTCCTCCCAAACTTGGACTCTCACCCAAGGCATCAATAATCTTTTCAGATGCAACTCCAGTGACTCTTCTCTGTCCCTACTTTTCCCAAGCCTTTCAGCAATGAACACTTTGGCCCAGGTGGTCCTTCCTCCTACACTTCCTTTTTGTTATCTTTATCATCCTCTTGCTGTGAGAACAGACAGGAGGCCAGTATGACTGGTTGCAAGGAAGCGAAGAGGAGTGCTAGACGACTTGTGCATCCCCAGCTTCCAGGACTCTCTCTTGGGGTCTCCCAGGCACTTCTGTGCAGTATGGCCCCGGCTAAAGGCATTATCTTCCTGCTAGAACCAACTTATCCTCCCACATTTCCAGTTACCTGTGGGCTCCCCAACCTGAGACATGGACAGGAGCTTCACCAGCTCCCTCACCACACCTGTCCAGGTCCACCCCCTGAACATCTCTCAAACTGCCATTTTTACTTTTTGTGTGGTAACCTTGTGTGTCACCATCATCTCTGCCTGGGGTGCCACATCTACCCCTAACATGCTGTCTACCTGTTCTAAGGGCCCAGAGCAGTCACTCTGAAATCCACATTCATCTGAACATCTCCTGGTCCTGCTAAAGACCATTATGATCTCGGATGTAAGGTCCACACTCTGTTCTGTGGCTCCAACCACCCAGACTGGGATGCTTTCCAACCAATGAGCACTCAAGTGATGCTGAAGAATGATAAAGCCCTGTGTGCAGACAAGAGCAATTTTATTTGGCGAGGAACTATGGAATGTAACACACACCTGGTGGGAAAGGAAGGGAAGCAGTTTCCTTGGAGAGAAGACTGCTGTTGGCCCCGAACAGTGGTTGTGTCATTGTGCAGGACATGGGCAGCATTCTGTGAATCGTCTGAGGCTGAACAGGGAATGGATTGAGCAGCAGGAAGTGGTTCTGCTATAAGAAGACCTCAATCAGAATGGGGACTGGAGGCCACTGACTCTTGTTTGTACTGGCCCATCATCAAACCCTCCAGAGAGAGGGCAGGAGGCTGAGATCCTAGGGCTAGGGGTCTTGTTTCAGCTACCAAGGGAACCCAGGCCTGAGGTCAGGGGGCTCCTTGTGCGTGTGTTTGGTGTGTATCTGTGTATCCATAGACACTTGTGTGCAGTGAATTTGCATGTATGTGCACAAGTATAAGTGTGCTGGTGTGAGAGTGTGTGTCTCTGTACATCTGAGTGACCATGTGTTTGGGTGTGTATGTGCATGCATCCACAACCATGTGTGTTTCTGTTTGTGACTGTGTTGCAGTGCTGCCTGCGTTCTCAACTACCGTCAGAATTTCTGTGAACTTTTCTGAGCACATCTGTCCTTGTCACTATGGCACTCGGCTCTCTCTTTGGATGTTACTGTCACAAGCCCTCTGCTGCCCTCACCCAGGGGAAGAACAGTAGCCCCCAAAGTCCTGGGGAGCTGGGAAGAGCACTCACTAGCTCAGGAGAGGCCAGGTCCCTTCCTGGAAGGTTTACAAGTTGATGGTAATACTCTCCCCAGGGATCAGTGTGTCTGGAAAATGAAAAAAACCACCACCACAGACCTGAGTCATGGTCTCAGTGTGAAGGTGTCTGGGATATCCCACATTCCTCCCGAGGCCTGGGACCAGGGAATGGCAACTCTGGAGGTCTGACCAAGCTCAGGCAAGGCTTTGCAGGGGCAATGCCTCCTTCCACCAACCAGCCCAGCTCTCCTCAGTGTCAGGGCTGATGGGGGAAACAGGGTCTATATCTCAACACTATCTGGATAAATCAAGGCAAAAAGAAACCCAAAAGGGAGAGATTTGAGGCTGGAGGGGTCTATCTGACCCATGGTGTGCAGGGACAGAGCTCCTTGGGGGCAAGCATTGCTCCAGCAGAGGGGGAGAGAGGGCTTGGAAGCAGGTACTTACTGACAATGCTTTGCACTAAGGACACATCCAACTGGCTGAGAAGTCTATTGACCAGAGAGCACACCTGAACCAGGGGCAGATAGTGAAGTTAGATAAAGTGGCACTTGGAGAGAGACCCTGGGGGCAACATCTATTTAGAATGGATTCTCCAGGGGAGTTTTCTACCATTTCTTTGTGTCTGAGAATATTTGTTCCTAAGCATTCCCACAGATAAATGCTCACACTTCCATTGGGCAGAAGGAGAAACTGAAGGCATGTATGTGGAGCATCTAATCACAGTGAGCCAGTGTTCACTCTGTGACATGACATCTGTTTCTAATAGGGTGGACTGCTCTGGGAGGGGTGCATTTCTGGTCAGATGAGGCACCCAAGCAAAGGCTGGAATCATGCTTCTCTGCAGCCAAAGTTGGGGTGGACTGGGGGCTTCTCTGGGTAGGGCCTATCCATTTCATCTGTGGTATGGGACACACTCAGGGCCTGGCCCAGAGCAATAACCAATCAGTATGTTGAAGGATGGTAAGAAGAAACATGGAAAGATGGATCAATAGACAGACAGACATAGATAGAATTTACTTATCAAACTGAAAGCTCAGAATAGCTCATCCCAGGGGCCTCTTTCAGCCTGAGAAGCTCTAAGATGCAAGGGCTAGGGGCCCTCACTTCAACGCACTTACCGAAATCAGCAGCATCTTAGGAAGGTCTTTAGTCAAGGTATTGGTGAGGTTATTAATAAACTGTTCAATGAAGATGGTTTGAGTTCTGAAAGAGAAAAGCCATGGGCAGTGCAGAGGCCTGGTGTCAGTATGAAGAAGGCTTCAGAGGGGCCAGAGGGGCCACTAGGCCTATCACAGTCTCAGCATTAAGCAACTGAAACTGGGCCTTATTCACATTCTTATGAAAGCAAACACCAAAGTGCCTATCCAAAGGTAGTAATATCCTACACAGCAATGCACACAGTGGGACATGTAGAATAAACACATAGTTCCAGTACACAGTAGGTATTCAATGAAATTTTGCAGAATCCATAAATGGATGAGCAGTGCTCAGTGTGTAGTAGCCATGAGGATTCAATGAGATGATACATATGAGCACAATATATGTGTTCAGTAGATGTTAATCATGATGGGGATGAATTCTGCATATTGTGCATGACCAGTCTTGTGACAGGTAACTGAAATAAGTAAGCCAGAGAGGCTCCATAGCTCTTTTACCCCTTACTAAGACAAAGCACATTCACATCTATTATGTAAGTGGGGTTATTGATCAATAGCCCCAATGCAGCTGCATATTACAGTTTGGGGAAGTACTGCCCAAGCTCATGCAGGAAGCCCTCTACCTCTCCCCATGTCCTCTAGTAGATGGGGCTTGAATTCAGACTTCTTGTTCACTGATCCAGCATAAAATTGGTCAGCCCATCTTAAGAAGGGATAAGTCATTATTTATCCATCCATTCATCCATCCATCCATCCATCCATCCATCCATCCATCCATCCATCTTCCCTCTTGCCCATCAATCTTCCCATCTGTTTGTCCTCCCACCCTTCTATCCTCCCACTCATCCATTCTGCCATTCTTCTATCTTTCCAACTATCTATCCATCATCCCATTCTGTTGTCTCTGGGAAGGTGAAGTCAACCTTCTGGCCTTACCCAGTAGGCAGGGAGATTTCCAGATTGACAGGGGATTGAGAGCAGTCATGAAGGACCAAGTGGACTCCATCCTCATCTTTCTTAGGAATGAGTTCTATAGTGGCATTTAGCTTCACAGACAGCGTTAACTGACGTAGTTTGCTCATGGGCCTGCAGAGGAGAAAGTGGCCCCACCACATTCCAAGAAGAGGAGGAATGCCAGCCTCACCTGGCTCCATCTTGCCTGTAGATGTACACATCTCATTTCCCAGTAGGGGAAACCAAGACTCGAAGAGGTCGAGTGAGTTTCCCAAGTGACTCCAGGTCACTGAACATAGCAGCAAATAAACTGAACTTGGAGGCTCATGTCTGTTAGGCTCAAATGCCTCCTTTTCGGCTGCCCATGGTCATCAGGGTCTCCTTTGGTGAGCCACCCTCCCACCTTCCCTTGGGGCCACTTACGATGGCAATTTGATGTCGAGGCTCAGAGGGATGTTGAGGAAGAGGCTGTGACCATCCTCACTTGACACAAGGCCAATTTCCAGAAGTTTGGGTTTAGTGATCTCTATACTGCCCAGGAGATAAAGGAAAAAACATTAGCTTTTCTAGCCCCAAAACTATAAACCACATTTAACCCAATCTTACCTATTCTAGAGGTAGAGCTACCCATGCAGTGGGATGGGGGAGACAGAAGGGGAGTCTTGCAGCAAAAACCACTTGGGTTCTGAGTTGCATCAGTTTTCCCCAACCTCTGCACTGGGCCATATCCTGACATACCCATGGCCCTCTTTTCAACTTGGGTCTGCAAGGTGTTCCAGGATAGAGACTGAATTGTATTTACATTCTGTCTGGATTGTGTTTGCATTTTCTATGCCAGTTCAGAGCCTTACAAAAAGAGAGGCTGCTACATTATTGGTTGACTTTATGGATCGATGAGCAGGTGAGTAGATGAATATGTGAGTGGGTGCATGGAAGAGTACGTGTTTAGATGGAAGGAAGGATGGACAAATGAATGGTTGGATGGGTAAGTGGATGAGTAGATGATGTATGGGCAAGTGGAGTAAGTCTGTAACAAACATATATGGGTAGAAATTACTCATGACTTTCAATGGCAGGTTAATCACCAATGTTTGTCATGGAGATGGGGAGAAACGAGAAGTCAGGGAAAATGGAAGTAAGCCTCTTCTCTGAGCCAGCCATTGCGGAAGGTGATTATACCTTTTCTAGTTCTCCTAACAGTTTTTCTCTGTGGGTGCCATAGTCTATTTTATAGATAGAGAAACTGAGTGACACTGAGAAAGCCAAAGAGGACTTGAGTGCCTGGTCTCATATCACACAGCAAGTACATGGTACATTTGAAAACCAAACTCAAGACTATGTCTGTTTTCAAGTCAGGGGCAAGCACCTCGGTGGGTAGGAATCTTGGCTTTGATCCAGCCCTACCAAGGACCCAGGCTTTGCCAGCTCCCTATGTTAAGCTTTCCATCATATCTTCTTGCTTAGCGAGCTCACAGACGTCTCATGGGAAACACCATATTAGATCGTTCCGTGGACATCACTTTGACAATGTAATCAAGGAAAGTGTTTTACACTTTCTTGGTTACATCAAAGTTCTGTGTTCCAAGGGATTCTGCAGGTGAGAACAAAATCCCCACTGTGTAGTGGAAAAACCTTGACTTTGGAATTATGTAAACTAGAATTAGATCCCTCCCTCTGCATCACTCTAGTTGTATGAGCACAGGCACATTTCTGTGCTTCAGTTTCTCCATCTGCAAAGTGGGCATTATTAAGTTGACCTCAGGGTTGTTGTGAGGCTTACAGATGATACTGAGGACTCAGGATATGCTTTAGGACTGAGGACAATTGCTGGCTCAAGAGGACTGGTGTTCCCTGCCAGACTGCGAGCAAGGCCTCAGACTGAGTGCTGGGCTCATGTTCAGAGTACTCTTCTTCCTCCTTTAGGCTCCTGCCTAGGGCAAACCAATCTCCAGTGGGTGGCCTCTGGTGGGGACCAAGGCCCTGCTTTAGGGCTACTCACCCAGTGAGGTCGCTCAGAGGATTGACCACTTGCTGAAGCAGCTTGCCAATCAGGCCACCAGAATTATCTCCTATAGTTTTCGGGATGTTCACGAGTGGAAGGTTTTTGACATTATCCAACAGACCCCCAGAGAGCAGGCCATTCTTGACAGCTGGAGATGGGTATCGGGGTTCTCAGGGGTCAGAGCTGACAATTTCAGATCCTCAGCCCCCTTCCTCCATTCATCCCTGCCCCCTCCCCCCATTGGATGGTGGGGAACACACACCACACACACACCCCTGAAGGAGGTTGTCAGAGATTCTCATTTACCATCTGTCAAATTTCCAGCAAGATCTGTGGGAAGCAGAGCCAGGTCCACGGGCAAAGGCAGGGCCAGCAGCCCACAGAAGACAATGAGGCCCCCAATTTGAAACATCTTCTCTCCTTGGTGCCTGTGGACAGGATGACAGGCCCAATGTGACACGGAGAGCAGAAAGAAACTCATCCACCACCTGTCCCTGGCCCCTGGAACACCAGCGAGGGAATAGCAATAGCTAGCCCTACTGAGCATTCCTTCTGTGCAGGCATCAGGCTGAGCTCTCCAAACTGGGTAACTGATTTCATCTTAACCATACCCTAAGGCATGGCACTAATCGTCTGCATTGCTTAGGTGAGGAAATGGGGGTCTAGTGAGTTTAGGTAACTTCCTTCAAGATCACAAGTACACATGAGGACAGGATTTGAAGCCAGACCCAGAGGCTTCTGTCTAAATTAAGTGACCATCAGATTTACTCTCTAACTGGGCTTACTCACAGCGGTTTGGATCATTGCCCCTAGTGCCTGCTCTTTAGACAAAGGAAATGAAAAACTTAAACATGGTAGTGGCTGAGGAACTGAACTGCTTTGTCACCATCCCTGTTCAGTCGTTTGGTCCAGGCCCAGCCTGTGCATGTCACACTATCAGAGGTCATGTAGTTGTAGCCACCATCTCATCCGGACCAGTGTTGGGGGAATGCTGGGCCATTCAAAGTTTTCATTTCACAAGGAGAATCAGGGAACCAGAGAAGGGTAGTGATAGTCTCAAGGTCACACAGCAAATTGAACGGCAGCTCTATGGCAGAGCTGTGGTTGGATGTAGGTCTCTGAACCTGTCCCCACCCCACACACAAATACATAACACACACACACACACACACACACACACACACACACACACACACACACATATGCACACACACTCTTTTCTATGCCTTTCTCTTCTCCCTCAAAGCTGACCTAGATGAACTTCTGGGGAACCCCTGGCATATGGCGGCCTTTTTCACCAGTCTCCTGCAAGATATCACCAACCTCTTACAGGCTTATTTGGTAGCTGGCAGGGGTGTCCAAAGCTGGAGCTGGTACCTATATTTTGGAGATGCCTGGCTATTTGGAGCAATATTCCATCCACTGGCCTATTTGGCCAAAGCTCCATCATTGCTGTGGCCGACTGAAATTGAAAGGGCTTTTTGGTCCAGAGAGCCAGTTGCAGCCTCCCTGGGGCTTGGGCCTCTGAATCTCTTTTGGGAAACAGACCTTTTATGAATCCACTAGAAGTTAAGGACCCTAGTCCCAGAAAAACGCATCAAAATGTATAACACTGGGAAGGTTTTAGGAAGTTTTTGGATGGTGATCTGAATTCACAAAGGCAACCTCAAGTTGAAACTCGTGCTGTAGAGACTTTGACTTAAGGTATGAATGGCATGCCCACGAGAGAATTTCAGCAGTCACACCTGCAGCCACAAATTCCTTTTTCTACATTTTCTACATTTTCTACATTTCTGCATTCAAACCTTCCTGTATTGACATTACTGGTCTCGTGGGGAAGTGGAGTGCATGGCCATCCCATGCCTCAGAAAAAGGCCTCTTCCATTTAGAAGAGGCAGTTTAGGCCAGTTTCTTTTAGAAGACCCTCAATGAGTGATCCTAATACAGCCACCCAGGGCCCACCCCACAGTGAGGAGCCTGGCACCCTTGCCACCCAGGGCCTCATTGTGGGAGCATGACAGGCAGGTCTCACCTGGGCTTTTCAGAGGTCCTGGTAGCTGTCCTGCTCTTCTCTTACCTCTCCTGCTTGCTTCTGCTGAGGAGGCAGCCTCTTTTATAATGTGGGAATAAGGAAGCATGTAATCAGGTGATGGGTTTCTAGAAATCCAGAATTCTGCAATCTGGTGGTATCTTTCAGGGCTCTCCAAAGTAAATAATTGCCTATTGCATTAGTAGGTGGGACAGTTAAGCCTTTTGATTGACAAGCTGTAAAGAGAAAAACCTGAGATGGGGATGTTACTGAAAAGTTCACGGTTTCATGAGTGGGGCTGAGGCTGGGGACCTGTGTTCCAAGGTGGCCTGAGAGATTAAACTTGGAACCCGAGGAGAGGCAGCTAGCCAGAGCCCAGGAAGAGACCCCAGTCTCATATGTAGGCCCTTTTCCATTCCTGATCCAGTTCTTTTTCTCCAGGTAGAGGTCTCTTGTTCCTAAAGTGTCAAAAAGAGTCAAACTGCCTCTCATTTCCCTTTGTCTGGGGGCTATCCATTCTCACCAGAACCCTGGAAGGGAGGGGTTGCTGCTCCTCCTTCAAGGAGGGGGAAACTGAGGTCCAGTGGGGATAAGTTTCCAAAGACACAGAGAGGATCTGGCAGAGGCAGAACTCTCCTCACTGGATAATGATGATAATAAAAACAGTGTCAGCAGATAGCATGAGCCCTTGCTGTGTGTCAGGACCACACTGATTTCCACAGGCAGCATCTCACAGACCCTTACAGCCCTGTGGGAGGTGGGACTGAGTACTCCCACTTTACATGGGGAAACGGAGGCTTGGAGTGAGTTGATACGCCCAGAGTCACACAGGGGACATGGTGCTGAGGCATTCACCCTCCTGTCCTTTCCCCATGTCACTGGACTGTACATTCAGTGACTGCTGTGCTTTTCCATACCTTTGAGTTTCATGCTGTCGTGAAATTTCTTTTATATCCTGGGAAAGTCTTCCCAGGTTCCCAGGCCTGAGGGATACTGTGGCATCCTGGTTTCTACCTTTACCCTTTCTTCTTCCCTTCCCCAAATGAAAGTGACAAGGTATTTGTCCACACAGCTTGGGCCTGTGGAGTCTATTTCACAGATGAAAGAACTGAGGCATGGAGGGATAAAGGTCTTGGACCAGTGAGAGCAGGCTCTGCCCTGCAACACCTAACACCTTATAAGCTACAGAAAGAAAGTAGAAAGTGCACATTCATAGGACACCTACTATGTGCTGGGTACTCTCCATATTTGAATCTTGTCTTCCTCAGAAGTGGTTAGTATTGTTGTCCCTCAAATGTCAGGTAAGGAGACCAAGGTTCGGAGAGGGACTCTTCCCCGGGACACGCAACAAATGAGTACTTCAGTCAGAACTCGCCCCTGCGTCTCGTCACTCCTGTCACCAGTGAGACATGCTGCTTTCCCTCAGGCCTCCCCTGGAGCTTCTCCCTCTTCCTGTGAGAATCCTGCAAGGCCTCCAAGGTGCCGGGGCCGTGGCTTTGAACTCAGTTATCCATTCAAGCACTTGCTAGACTCTTCCCAGAGTTTGTAGGTTGTGAATCATCCTTGAAGGGGTCCCACATTTTGATATCTTGGCATAGCTCTTATGGGTTGGGTCAGGTTGCTACTATCTTTGAGGGGAAACTGAGGCAAATAAGTCAAGGTGTCACAGGGGGGCAAAGGTAATCAGGTTCTTGGTGATCGCAGATAAAGAATTGAACCAAACACACAGAGTTTATAGCAGAAAGGGAAAGAGCAGATTTATTAAGCGATAGTACACTCTGCAGACTATGAGAGCAGGCCAACTCAGAGCAGAGATTGACCTCAGGGGCTGGAGGGATTCTATTCTTGTAGGTGGATATTTCCTGGCTAGTTTTGGTAGGGTGTTACTGAGCACGTACAAGTAGTTTTATTACTTTAAAGCTACTGCTCATGTGGTCCCCCATGATTTTCCTTGATTGGCCACCAGGGAAGAGGGCCCCACAATGTTAATTTATTCTAATGCTATTATAATGAAGCGGGGGTCATGTAGCATCATCTGCGCAGGTGCATTCATGAGTCACCATGATTCAGTGCTTTTCTAGAAAGTAGGAACAACCCATCTTAGAACAGGGTCTCTGTCCTGTATCGATGTCCTTTGTCTTGGTCCTGGGGCACTTCCAGAGTTTGCTCCCTCCTATTTCCTGCCACAAAGGGACTGACTCAAGCTTGTATAGCCAGTTACTGGGCAGGTCACAGCCCTTGTTTTGAAGACAGGAGGCTGCATATGCATGATGGCAGAAAAGGGACGAATTTGGGCATGGATTGCCTGGTTCAAATCCTATGACCCTGGGCAAGCCACTCTAATCCCTGCACAGGGCTGCGTGGGATCAGGGCTGGAGAGCTGATAGAATTAGTTCATAAGCTCACATGTCTATTCAGTTTTCTTTCTAATGTATCTATAGTTTAGTTACCATTTCAAATGCCATTTTCTGGGTAGCAAAAAACCTCCCCACTCCCCCATGGAGTTTTATTTCTTTTCCAGGGGCTTCATTTGTGCCACAGCACGTAGATGAGGCCGCCCTGTCCCTGTTTTGACTAGAAATACAGAGACATCCACATGCCTTCTGGCCCCTGACTGCTGAGATGCTGTATGTCCGTCCCTCCTGTCCGGAAGGCCCCTTTGGATTTAGCATTCACTTCTTATTTCCTTGTTAGCCACCCCCAATGGTTCTGTAGTTTCTCCATTCCTTGGGCCTCAGGCAGGACCAAGGTGGGGGGGGGGGCTAGGCTACCCTAACCATCTGCCTGGGCCACCTAGACTCTAGTTAACCTTCTTTCCCTGGAGTCTTGTCATCTGTCCTGGTTCTGGAAGGAAACACGGGCATGGGTGCCTTCTGCTCTTGAATCCTGCTCGTCAACTTCAGGTACCTGTTGTCCCACGACAAGTTTTGCCCGGGGAGTAGCCTTGGCACAAGATGCTTTCCAGAACCCACTGAACTATGTTCTCTTCAGTTTCTCCTGGGCTCTCATACTCCACCAGCGCAGTGTGGGGAATTTTCTAGTCTTGGGGCAGGAAATCCTCCTTCAATTTATTATATATGTGCTATTCCTGACGTCTCCTATGCCCTGAGTTTTGAAACTGAAAAACTCAGGTTAAAAAAAAATTAACCCACAGTAAAATTGGCTTTTTATCCTTTGGTGTGTGGGTCTATACATTTTAATGCCCATATAGTTTGATGTCACCACCACAATAATCAGGATTTAGAACATTCCATCACCCCCCAAACAGCCTCAGGCAGCCCTTTTAGAGAGAGTCACACCCACCCACCCACTGGTGAGCACCCATCTGTTCTCTGTCACTACTGTTTGTCAAAGATATGGGTGCTGGAAACTTCTGCTTATGCTGAAGTTGCCCCTCATTGAAGCCAAAGGTGCTGCCTGTTCCATTATTCCAAGCAGGGCAAGGGCATCAGGAAGTGTGGAAGGTCACACTGTTGACATTTCCAGACCGTGCTTTCCATTCTGGTGATGTCAATGCCTTCCCAGTACTTTCTGAAAAACCGCAGGTGGTACCCTTTTCCTCCCACATATCTGATTGTAGTTGGGAGCCTTTATTTTTATGAATCAAGAGATCCATTGTTAAAGGGCAGAATTACTCTCCAGAACCCGGGAGTGGGACATTGGTCCTGTTCCCTGGAGTAAGATCAGGTGGTAGCTGAGTGTGAGGGGGATCTTCAGATGGCCTTGGGATCCCCATTTGAGGGGCAGAGGACAAAAAGTGTTCACGGATCCCTTAGAGCTGGGTGCCCTAACTTTGATGAGAAAATACGTTTTTGCTTCAGGCAAATTCCACTTACCTTAGAGATTAATCTTCCTCCTACATTTACAGTTAATAATAATAAAAGCTTTTTGTGGGACACTAGAGCATTATCCCATTTCTAACAACCCTGCAGGGACACTGAGGCTCAGGGAGGACAGTCAGCTGCCCAGGATCACCTCAGCTAGGAAGAAGTGAATTTAGAGTGTCATCCAGGGCTGTCTGACTTTAGTGCTCATAACTTCTGAAGCAAGTTTGTGTCACAGAGTGTTCAGTTCAGAAAGTTCCTGAGAAATCACGCAGCCCTTAGTTCCAAACCAGGCTCAGCCGATGACTCTGGGTAAGATGCTTCTCCTCTTCCAGCCTCAGTTCCCTCACCTGCAAATAGGAGCTGACGGCACCTGCCTCCTGGGGCTGTGGAGAGGGTTAAATGGGAAAACAAATGTAGCACACAGCCCAATACCCAGCAGAGTCAGAACTCTGATTGGAGGGCATGCAGTCCTGGGGTACAGACAGGCAGGGCCTGGAGCAAGCAAGCTCCTGACCATTTGGGGCTGAGTTTCTGCTTAAATTACCCCCCACCCCAGACCCCAGTCTCATAACAGAGGTCTATCATGCACCAAGCTCTTCTAGGAGACAGCGCAATGAGTCCATGGCTCTGTGAACCTTAAAATGAAAACAACACAAGAAACCCGAGGAGGCCCCTTGAGGAAGGAGGTCCCAATGCCACCCCTGGAGGGGTCAGGAGGAGGGCAGACAAAACCTGCCTTCACCAAAGGACCAGGCAACCTCGTGGGAGGACGGGGCCCAGCCCTCCTATATTCGCTCTTTGAATCATGAGCAGGAAGAACCCCACAGCCTCAAGGCTGTCAAGGGGAGTCATCTGTGTGAACATGGGCACATAGGGTTGCAAATCCCTGCTGCAGCATTTTGGATTAGGGAGTCTGAAAGATGGGGACTTGAGTTTCTCTTGCCCTATTCTCACCTGTGAGACATTGAAACTTTCTTATTTGACCTTCTCAATCCAGCTGTGCCCACATGTCATCATTTCCTCCTTAGTGTGTTTGTGTGTGTGTGTGTGTGGCAGGTGTGGTGTTGGAAGGAAGGGAGGGAAGACTAGAGGGGGAATTCACAGTGGTCAAGAGTATGGGCTCCACAGTCTGGCTGCCTGAGAGCTGTCAACTTGGTCATTTCATTGCTGTGTGACCTCAGACAAGTGGCTTTCTCTCTCTGCGCCTCCGTGTCCTTATGGGTAAAGTAGGATAGCATTTCATGGGGTTTCTGTGGGGATCTGAGGGGATTTCTGAATGTGGGCTTCTGGCGCCAAGCTTGGCACATGCCAAAGGCTTAATATGTGTGTGCTACTGCTATTATATGTGTGTGTTATTTCCCCTTGATTTCTCAGTAGGCTTTCCCTCCCCTCAGGTGGAGGAGGGTAGAAATTCCTATTTAAGAATTGAATAGTCATTAATTAAATAATTAACAATGAAGTAAATGACATTTACTAAGCATACCTTATGGACTTAGCATATGCTAAACATATTGTAAGTGGCTTATCACGTACTCTGACAAACATCCTGCATGGTAAATATGTTTATTTAAAATTTTTTTGTTAAAGTATAGCCTATATAAGAGAAATGCACTGAGGTGAATAGTTCAATGAATTGTTGCAAAGTGACAATTGTCACAAACTGAACATCCTCCCCACAATCCTCACCCAGATCCAGAAACAACATCGCCTCACTTGAGCCCCTCCCAGTCGCTAACCCACTCCCCAGGGATAACTATACGACTGCTAATGGCATAGACTAGTTTGCGGTTTTGAGGTTCATATAAATGGGAGATGCAACATGAGCTCTTTTGTGTCTGGCGTTATCAGGTGTGTGAGATGCAGCTACGTGGCCATGTGCAGCCGTAGGTCATTTTGATTACCGTAGAACATTCTGCTGGGTGACTATCCCACAAGATCTGGTTATGCATTCTTTTGATGGGCATTTAGGGAATTTTTACTTTGGAGCCATTATGACCACTGCTGCTATAAGCGATCTTGTGCATGTCTTGTGGTGCCCACGTGCACGTGTTTCTCTTGCACATAGACCTGGGAGTGGAATTGCTATGTCACATGTTGCACTTGTAGGTGACGCTACCATCCAGTTTTATAACACAGTGGTACAACTTCCCTCCCACCAGCAGTGTGAAAACTCCTGTTGCTCCACATCCTGTAAGCTCTCTATCCGCATTTTGCAAGTGAGGAAGACGAAAAGGTGAAGTGCCTTGTCCCAAACACAGCTAGTGAGTCCTAGGACCAGGATTTGTTCATTCATTTAACCTCAGATATTGGTGGAGCTTGCAGTCTATGCCAGCCCTATGCTGGGACTGTGGGGGTCATCGAGCACCCTGATATACATGGTCCATGCCGTTATGGAACTTCTCGCTGGGCTGAATTGAATCTGAACTCAGATCTGTTTGATGCCAATGTTTATGCTTTTCTGCTCAGCCACCCTTTCTCTGCACTCCCTTGGAGCTCAGCAAAGTGCTTGGCACCTAGTAGGTGCTCAGTAAATATGGGTTAAATGAATGATGGATTGGGAAATCTCAATAGGAACCTCCCTGCATTGATGAACACATCTGCGGATGGGCTTCTGGCTGCAAAATACTGGAAAGAATGCTTTCTCTGGTATTTCTGAGCTAATGAACAAACCCAGGTATATTTATTCTCAGGATGAGCCTTCATCAGGCCTTTACTTCTGGAGCCCAAGCTCAGGGCCCAGGCAGGGGGTCCTCTGTACCCTTCAGAGCTACAGTTTACTATGGGGGAGGACAGGATATCCACATGCTCTGTGGTAAAGGATTTCCGGGCAGTGGAAGCCCTGCTCTAAGGGAGACTTAAGGTCCTAAGATGTGGAATTAATCTCCTTCCGATCATCAATAGGAAGCTGAACGCTCAAACCTGACATGGGGTGGCCTGGACTCACAGGTTGAGATCATGAGCAGCAGTCTGTTCTGTAAGAAGAAGAGCTGGTCACCAGCTTGTCTGCCCCTCCAACGCTCAAGTCCGCAGTGAAGGACACTCTCACCCACCCAGACTGCCTGAGGGCCCCTGCCCAGAGCATTCCCATTACAACTGTTTCCAAATGATAGCTAATGATTTGCTTCCTATTGTCTCCCATTTACTAGACTGAGAGCTCCATGAGGGTGGGGACCGTATCTGTTTATCTGCAACTGGAGTAGGTAGTCTCAGGTTTGGGGTGGGGCCAGTGGATTGAGTGGAACAGCTACAACCTCTGGGAGTGTGGAGGTTTAGGTGATTTGGTAGGGTCCTGCCTGCTTGTAGGAGTGCCTCCTGCTGTCCTAACTTTCTTGGGGGACAGTAATGTGGTCTCCTCTAAGTGTTCTCAGAGCATGTGGAGACATGCCGCCCTCAGCGGGCCTCACTGGGAGCCTTGCTGGGACCCCCACTCAGGGCACCTCTCCCAGTCGTTTGCCCATCCTGAGTCCTCCTTGGATAAATGCAGACACTCACCCATGAGGTGTTTCAACAGTTTCACATCCAGCTGCCTGAGGATTTCTCTGATCAGAGGACATACCTGGACCACCAGCACAGAGAGGAGGGTCGGATCAGGGACTGGGAAGAGAAAACTACAGGGCCTGTGGTTGGAAGCTTGATTCTCTTAGATTTCCACATGGGATCCTGGCAAGAGTGGCTTAGCTTCCTGTACTGAGGGCCAATTCCATGCTAGGTGCCCTGAACAGCACTTCCATGTTTATCTCCCTGAACCCTCATGCCATCTTTAGGAAATAGGGTCTGTGATGATTCCCATGCTGCAGAGAGGGAATCTGAGGCTCAGGGAGACTAAGTCATTTGACCAAGGACACACAGTTAGTGGGTGGCAAAACTGAACATTTTAATTGAGATCTTTCAGGTTCTAAAGCCCAAGATTTGAAACTCTTTGCCTAACTGCTAATATATACTTCCTAGTCGTCAGACTGAAGGATGCCCAAGGTGAAAATACTTTTCTCAAACTTACCTGATCTTCTATCAGGCGTGGGATAACTTTTTCCAGATTTTGTCTAAAATTGTGGAGAAAATGTTTCATCTTTGATGAGATATCTCTAGAAAGAGAGGTATATGTACAGAACAGATAAATACAGGCAAAATAATACTACGTGCTATGTATCGAATACACCTTATCCAGTCATTCAATCTGCAGCCTATATAAGAGGCATCATTGTCCACAACAGTCAAAGGGACAATTTGGAGAGGTGATGTGACTTGTCCAAGGTCACACAGTAAGTGTTGATTAGATTGGAACCAGGTCAGCAGAGCTCCAGAGTCCTCAGTCTTTCCCCTGCACTGTCCTCTCCATGAAAGTTTGGCATGATCTAGGAGCTCAGTGACCGTCTGATGAATAAATAAATGGGCAGTCACTGAGAACTTTGTTGCTTTCAGCATTCTGGAATTACAGAGAGAAATCAGACATAAATCTTGCCCTCAAGGGACTCATAGTCTATTGAGGTTGACAGACTTGGTCAGCCAGTATATAGATCTCCATTTAGCTCTGTTTTTTTTTTCCATCTTGTTCACTACTGTTGAGGAGGAGCTTTAGAGAAGAAGGGAAGGGCATCCCAACAGAAGGATCCACAGGTGCAAAGATATGGTGGTATGAAAATGCCTAGTGTGTTGATGGAGAGGCGGGTCCTTCAGAGACACTACAGGGCAAAGGGCTGGAGGACAGGGTAGGTGGGACAGGGGAGTGGACAAGTAGGGCCTTAAGTGACATCCAGGAGTTTGATCTTCATTGAGAGGACATTGGAGAACCATTGAAGGTTTGGGGCAGGGGCTGAGGGACATGATCAGATTCCTGTGCTAGAAAGTTAATTCTGCTGCAGGAGGAGAATGGAGTGAAGGAGGTGAGGTATAGTCAAGGAAAGCTGGAGGAAGCTCCTGCAATGGTCCAGGAAGTGGACCGTGAGCTGGGACAGTGAAGGATGGAGAGAAGGATGAAGAGACAGGAGCAAGTGGGAGCTACCAGGAAGTCACTGATGGGAGCTGGTGAAGATGGGCTGCAGGGAGCGAGGAGGAGGAAGAGGCTGGTTTCTTTTTGGGAAGGTGGCATGGCCATCATCGGGAGGGGACACAGGAGAAGGCACAGATCCTGGGGGAAGGGTATGATCTGTTTGGAGTTCATCCAGGAGCTGGTAGAGACTTATGGCCACAGATAGGGCGAGTCAGGAAGGGGCCCAGCCCTGGGGAGGGGCAGCTGGGACCTTACTCTGTTAGGACTGTTGTGTAGACACTGCTGGGCTCCACGTGGCAATTGCCTATCACCAGATCCCTCCGGCCAAACTCGTCTTTCTCCAGCCAGAACTCCACAGCGACGTTCATGCATGCGTGTGTCTTTGCAATCTTGTTATTGAAGGGCTTCCTGGGGAATGAGAGAGGAGAGGAGAAGAGGAAAGGGCAGGAGACAGAGAAAGAGTAGGAGGTGGATGCAGCCAACAGGAAGAGTGGCTGTTTGTGTGGGTGGCACTGTCCACACTCTGAGTCCTTTCAACAAACCAGCCCAGTGGGGCTCTGTGTTGCCTGCATGTTAAATCCTATAGTCAGTGATTAAAAAGAAAACTGCCATTAGCCAGAGTGGCTTCGGAAAATCCTCTTAATAGGGGCCTTTGGAAATTCAGAGGTTGAGAGTTTATCTTATTTTTAGTATTTTTGCTGTTGAGCTGTAGCCTCCCTTTCCTTGGGGGCAGTGAATATTAAAGGATGGTTAGAACAGAAGAAGGGAAGGGTGATGAGATACGGTGCTTTAAAAAAAATCAATGTAGTGAACTTATATAGGTTTAAATGAGCAAAGGGCCTGCCTCCGCTGACCAGTGATTGCCATCCACACAGTTCACTCAGAGACGTGAAGTGACTTGCCCAAGGTCACACAGCGAGTGAGTTTGGAAACCAAGATTTGAAACCAGGTTGGGGTCAGAAAGATCTGGGTTTGACAGGTTGCCAAATTCCTTCCCACCACCCAGCTCCCAGGTCCCCAGGGAGGAGGAGGAGGGTCTCTTAGGTCCCTCTTCTGTATGACTTACAGTTTCAAGTCAATGTCAAATTCAAGTGAGATTTTTGCTGAGAGCCACTCCTTATGGAAAGACATCTGGGTCCTGCCATGGTCCAGGTGAATGTTGGTGATGTTGGCACTACACAAAGAAGGAGCAGAGGTCCCACCAGGGAGAGAGGGACCTCAGCCATCAAGGCCATGGGCTGACAAACAAGGCTGGCCTGTCCATAAAAAGGGCCTGGCAGTGCATCTGAAGTCAGAGCCTTTTATGGATGCTCTGAGGGCAAGAGCCACCTGCAGGAGCCCTGGGCTGCAAGCTGTCCTGGGGGTACCCTAGTAGTTCCACGCTGTTATACTGGTTTGTGTAACCCACAGCCAACTGCAGGCCCAGACGATAGGCCTGTTCTCACACCAAGCCTCCCCGCTCAGTAGATGGCCTCACCACCTCCCCAGGTTGTCCAGGCACAGGCCCCAGGAGCTGTCTTTGATTCTCTCCATCCCTTATTTCCATATTCAAACCATTAGCAAGTCATGTTGCTGTCTTTGCTTGAAAAATATATCCTGAGCTTGGCCACTTCCCTCCACCTCAGTCACTTTTACCTGGTCCAGGTTAGCAGCACTTCCTGTCTGGAGATACTCTAGTTTCTCTGGGTTTCCTGCCATGATCTTGGCCTCTCTATAGACTGTTCTCCATGCAGCAGCTGAAGGGGCCTAACTCCCTTCTCACTCAACATTCTCCGCTGGTTTCTCACTGCTCTTAGAACAAAATCTGAACTCCACACCATGGCCCCTTAGACCTGCAGAGCCTGGCCTCTCCTGTCATCTGGCTCACCCAGCCACACAGGATTTTTTCTTTGTCTCGAACACACCGATTTCTTCCCTGGCTCAGGGCCTTTCCGCTCGCTGTTCCCCATATCCCTCATTGTCACTTGCTTCTTCATTCAGGTTTCTCCCTAAGGGTTACCTCTTTAGACAGGTCCTCCTGATCCGCCCCCTCGCTCTCACCCTTTACCTTGATAAATTTGTCTTCATGACATCTCCCTCCACCTGAAATTAGTCATTTACTTTTGAGGCCTCTCTCACCACTAGGATTAAGGTCCCCGAAGGTAGTGACCGTGTATCTTGGTTTCCCGCTCTATTCTCAGTACCCAGCCCAGGTCCTGGTACACAGTGGGCCCTCAATGAATATTTGTAACCATTGTTTAAGGAATGGAGGAAGGGCAGTGATGGTGGCGGCACCCATCAAGGAGAATCTTTCTGGTGAGATTGGAACTCATCAAAGTAGAGAGAATGAGGGATTCCAGTCAGGGAGGAGGGAGCTCCAGGGCACAGCAGGCTGGAATGATGCTGTAGGTGCTGTAGATGAGCAGCTTTGAGACTAGGAGGCTGGGGAGGCCTGCATCCATCAAGAGGAAGGAGTGAAAGTGGAGGCGAACAGTACAGGCCCAGTTCTGCAATGTTGACTGTAGCTTGGGATGGCTCTGCATCCACCATGAGCAGCAGAAAAAACTCCCCCAAATTCCCCAAAACTCCCAGCGGCAGGGACAATTATTATGCCCATTTCATTGAGGCTCAGAGAACTCAAATGCCTTGCCCAGAGTTACACAGCTATCAAGCAATAGAGTGGAGTTCAAATGTCTGACTCTAGTCCTGGGTTCCTTGGGCACCCCAGATGATCATCCAAGCTGTGCCTTGGCTGCCCAGGGTATAGATGAGGCCAGAGTGGTTCAGCAATTTCCCCAAGGCTGGTGGCAGAGCCAGGACCTAAATGCAGAAACGTTTACTCCCAAGCCTTCACTTTTAATTACCCTGCTATGCTGCCTCCACAAATACCCCTTGTATTTGTAGGTATAAATGGGTCCTCTCATTCATCCTTATATTGGGCCTCACCTCTCCTCCTTCCAATATTCCATCCTTCCCTCTTCCCAAGGCTTTGAACTTCCATTCCCCAGTTCTGCCCTCTAACCCAGGGCTCTGTAAAGAATCCCAGAGCTAGGGATGGGGTTCAGGGTCTCACCTGCCTTCTTTCTGCTCCTGGAGGCTCATGCCACCGCCGATTAGCCAGCCCACCATCCCTGGGGCCACTTGTCCGGAGGCATTCAGACTGTCCAGGAGGCAAATGGTCTGGATTCGGCCCTCTGCATTGTGCATGGTGAGGCCCTGGGTAATAACTGGAAATGGATAAGGGATCAGTGACATTGCACAATGTCACGGAAAAGGCAGGGGGTTTGGAGTCGGGGCCTAGGTTGCAGGCTGGTGCACCCACTTCTTGCAGAGAGATTGGTGCATATCGCCGCCCTGCTCCTAAACACTGAGATCCACATTCTTCTTCTGTGAAACTGCTCTGCAGGGTTGATGTGACATTTCTGCAGAGGATCTGGTGGGCCATAGCTGCTCAAAGGACATATTTGGTTGAAGGTTTACCCTGTGCTATATCTCTGTGTCTGGCACATAAAACCTAACATAAATGTAGATCACAATAAATATTGGCTGAAGATTAAAATAGGAGGGCGAGTAAAGAGGGAATAAATGTAAATGCTTTCATACCCTGCCTGGGATCAACTGCAGGACTGAGCGGAGCTAGCTCCCACCAGAAAAGAATGAATTCCAAAAGGAAAGGGCATTTGAAAAGCAATGGATGTATTAAAGTTCTGCCTCTCTTGGCTCTAGACTCTCTTGGCTCCAGACTCTCTTGCCCCAGGTGGGGGTCCAGCTCTGGCAAACTTCAGGGCTCACCACAGGCACTTATTTCACTGACTTCACCCTTTCTATGATCAGGGCCTGCCCTATGGGTTAGTGCAGACCCGCAGAAACCATTGTCACACCTAACCCTCCTTCCTCCAGGGCCAGCTCCCAGAGCCCTTTTCAGCACCTTGTGTTCCTGCTGCCTATAAACAAAAAGGTGTGTCTGCAGTCACAGATCTGCATTTAAACCTCAGCTCTCCTAGCTCCCTAATTCTGGATTTCTTCATCTGTGTAATAGGGGCAGTAATAATACCCACCTCATAGGGTTCTTGTGAGGAACATTGAGAACATTCATCTAAAGAATATTTATTGAGCATCTTCTGGGTGTCAGGCCCTGTACTGGGCACTAAAGACACAAACCAGTTTTCTGTCTCATAGGAGAGACATATATTAACCAGATTCAAAGATAGAGTGAAACTATAAGGACTCGTAGACGACAGTTTGGGAGAAATGTTAGCAATATTTAGACCTGATGAGGGACTAATGTCAAGAATAAATGAACATCTCCTTAAATCAAAAAGGATAAGTTAAAAAATGAACAAAAAATAAAAACAGGGAATTCAAAAAAGTCAAAATAGTTAACAAAATTATGATGAGATACTCAAACTTCCTACTAATTAGATGAAGTCAAGCTAAAACAATTAGATATCACTCACCTACACATCAGACTGGCAGATATTAGAAAGATAGTGTTATGTACTGAATTACATCCTCCTCCCCCCACCCTACCCCTTCAATTAATATATTGAAACCTAAACCTCCAGCATGGTTGTATTTGGAGGTAAGACCCTGAAGAAGGCAAGGAGGGTTAAATTCAGTCATTAGGGTGGGGCACTAATCCACTAGCACTGATGTCCTTACAAGATGAGAAAGTGGCACGAGTGTGTTCTCTCTCTGTGCACACACAGAGGAAAGGCCGTGTGAGGACACAGCAAGAAAGTGGCCATCTGCAGGCCAGGAAGAGAGGTTTCACCAGAAACCAGTCCTGTGGGCACCTTGATCTTGGACTTCCAGCCTCCAGTACTGTGAGAAAATGTCTGTTGTTTAAGACTCTTGGTCTGTGGTGTCTTACTATGGCAGCCTGAGTAGACTGGTACAGACAGATGGGTACTCTCCCATCTGTGGGGAAACAAGGGGGGACAGGTAAGCTCATTTATTACTGGGGGTATAGATTGACACAGACATTCTAGAGTGCAATCTGGCAGTTTTTAGTTAAATAGAGTTTGCATCTTCCCTGGGGCCCAGCTATCCACCTTCTGGGTATATCCCAGGGACAGTCTCCCACAGGTCCTCACAGGGACACAGATAAGGATGTTCATCTCAGAGCAGTTTATAATGGTGGGGAGTTAGAGACAACTCAGGTGTCCATCCTTTGGGAAATGACCAAGTGGAGGTGAAGTGGATGAATCTCATGGACTTCTATGCACCAGTCTGAAGCCACAGATGTCAACGGTGAAACCAGTCAAAAGCAATGAGACCTATGTGGCAACACCCTTCAAGCAAATCAAAGCACTGCATGTTTTACAGGGATCTGGGCATATTTAAACATGTGGATGCTGCAGTCCTTGCCAAGGAAGAGGGAATGGGAGTGAGAATAAGAGGTGAAAAGGAAAATAACATAAAATAAAATCAAAGGGGGGTCTTGCCATATTCATGATAATGATAATATGCTATGAATCAGTGTATGATCAAGCCAACCTCATTGTCTGTCCTCGAGTTATAAGAAAAAAGGAAAAGAGAGTATGTGACCAACCCAAGGTCATTCAGCAAGTTAGTGGTGAGGCCCAGATGATGCTTTCCCCACCCACCCTGTGACAGCTAGCAGAGCACAGGCTTAGCTTACTTCTCACCAGGGTGGATTTGCTGTTCGTGTGGGCCTTGGCCATGTCAGGCCAGGGCTGCTTGTGCAGTGCTGAGGACAAGGACAGCAAACGGAGGAGGACCAGGAGCCTCCAAAGTGGATGCATCTTGGTTTCTGGGACCTGCAAGTGTCAAGAAGGGTCAGGCGGCTACCGGAGTGGCCTCTGGGATGGGTGGAATCATGGTTTTCTGCTGGAAGATTACACCAGACTTAGCATCCAGAATGCTGTGGGGAGGTGTCCTGATGAGCTCTGGCAGCTGCTCACATGGTGATGGCGGCAAGCAGAATCCTGAGTGGAGGCCAGGGCTCCAGAAGGATGCCTTGTTGCTTGGAGACGCCCCAGTAGAGCCCACTGTTGGGTCATCCAGTAGGAATGCTCTTCCAGACCCTGCACAAGCTGGGTGTTGATGACTCTTCAGTGAATGAATAAATGAATGAATGAATGGGTGAGAATAGCTAATTCCAGACTTTCCAATTGGACTAGGACTTTCTTAAGGGCAAGGTCATCCTCAATGCCTACCACGATGATTGTTTGCCAGGAACTAAGTGCTAGTGAATGCTTGTTGAGTGACTAAATGACAATACGTGGAGGAATGCGGATGGCTAATCTCTGAATCTCTCATCAGATTATCAGTTTCTTGAAGGCAGGTGTGAGTCTAATTAATCCTCATGTTCCTGGTGCCTCCCATGTTACCACATGGTAGTTACTAATTAATTCTCTTTAAATAAAGTGAACAAATAAATGACTGAATAGCTGGCTGATGGTTTGTGAATAAAATTTACAGGAGGGGGACAGGAAGCCTTGAAGCCAAAGTATTAGGTTTACCTTGTTGCTCTGGGGTTGGGAGTTAGAAAGAATTTACTTCATCTCCCTTTCCTCACCGTCTCCAGAAATGGCACCACCAATCATCCGGTTGCTCCAGCCCCAGCCCTTAGAGTCCCCTTGACCCCTCTTTCTTTGCTCATCTCCAATGACTCCTCTGTGAGGAGATTCTACCAACACTTTCAGAATCTGACCACATCTGACAACTCTTCCTCAGCCTCCATCTTGGCCTGAACTGTTGCAGTGACATCCTACATGGTTTCATGGCTTCCTTCCTTGCCCACCTACAATCTCTTCCACACAGCAGCCTGAGCAATCATTTAAAGACATAAGTCAGACCACAGCACTCTTCTGCTCAAAACCCTCCCAAGTTTCCCACAGTGAACAGACCAAAACCCAAAATTCATGCAACGCCTCCAGGCCCTGCAGGGTATCTCCTGTTTTTCTCTCTGACCTTCCCTGCTACCACTCTGCCCCCCCGCCCACTGCCCTGTAGCCACACAGGGTGGGGAGTTGGAACCCCAAAATTCAGCTTCTGTGAGCTCTGAGACAAAGGTAATTTTCACTTTCCCAGGTTGTGGAGGATATGCGGGTCCTTTGCAAATGTCATAGCAGCCCAGGAGCCCCCTTGGGGAATTGGCTTCTGGTTTTGTAAGAGATCATAATAAAAGGATTAGTTTATAGCATGATGGCTTTTCCATTTGAGGTTCTCCCTCAGGGTTTACACTCCTCTTAGGATGTTTGTAGAATATCAATTGCTTCAAAATGCATTTTTCTAGTCTTCCTGGTCTTGTATAACTAGTTGGGATGTTGTTATTTATTTATTTATTTATTTATTTATTTATTTATTTATTTGTCGAGAAAATTGGAGAGAAGTGAGCACTGTTGGGAGAAACAAATATGTTGTCATTGGCTTTTTAGAGGTCTGAATGTGGGGTGGTGGGTTGTCATTTCCACTCCAACACAGGTTGTGCTTCTGAGGGCCCTTGAGTCTAAAGAAATAATAACATGGAGGGTATATAGTTTTGGAGCCTGGTGCCTCCATAAGGTCTCAGGAAGGCACTGCTCAAAGGGAAGCCCTAGATTTACAGCCATTTTGATTCATGATCACTTAGCAGTTAAGGGAGTGGGTTTCTGCATCACAGAGACCAGGGTGCAAATCCTGGCTCTCTCTTGGCAGACTCAGTTTCCAGATCTGTAGAGTGATAGCCACCACAGTTCAGACCTCAGGGCTGCAGTGAGGATTAAGGGAATCACGGCCAGGGCAATGTTTGAAATCTATGTTGCCATGCTGTCATCCTTATCCTCATCCTCACCTTTCTGAGTCTCAGCTTCCTCACCTGTAAACTGGAGAAGCTGGTGGATGGAATGACACCAAGTATGAAGAAGCCCAAGGTGGTGCCTGGGACACCGAATATGCACCAAGTGTAACTGAGCAAACTGGAGCTCAGCCATGTGGCACCTCTCCTCATGACCCCACAATTAATGTTGAAAGAAATAGGTTTTTATTAACAAGGACCCAACCCTGGGGGAGCTGAGAGCATCCCCACTCAGAGCCCTCCTCTCCTAAGAGACCTAATGCTTCCCTTGCTCCCCAAAAGACTACAAGCCAAACTATACCCAGAAGTTCCCCGCATCCTTATCTGTTCTTAAGCTGGCCATGCGAACAGATGTCCATCCTCTCCGGAATGTGCACTTGTGGGTTTCAGAATCGTCATCCTCTCACAGCAGCTCTCTCCTTCAGGATCTGGGGCATGCTGTTTTCAACTTTCATGCAGAGGTTCAGGAAAACATGTGCTGTGTTACACTAGATCATGGTAGAGTCTAGCAGGGCCCACGTTCCAAGAGAATGGCTTCTTTGTACATCCTTCAGAGAAGCAGAAGTCTGCAACTCAGCATTCCTGGTCACACTTCAGCTCCCAGCATCTCTCACCAATCCGTGCTTGGCTTGGCAGGTCCCTGTACAGACTGGATTCAGAATTCTGAAGAGGAGACACTGTTCAGCTGCTTCTGGTACCTTAGGACTTGGAGTCTCATGCAGTATTCTGAAGAGGCATAATAAGCCTGATTTGGGGAGAATTTAAAAAAGGCTTGTAAATTCAAACCAACATCTGTGGTTGAGTGAAGAATCATCACTTGTTGATGTGTAGAGGAATAGTTAGCAAAGAGGAAAAAGGAGTTTTCTTTTCCTCTCCTTTTGCCCTGCAATATCCCTCTAGTACCCCTTATAGGCAGATCCTAATAAGGAGCCAAGTAGAGAAGAAGATATGTGGTTTGAAGTGTTCCAGACCTGGCATCACAAAGCCTAGTACAGAAAGATGGATTTGGAACCAAGAGACAAATGCTTAATAACCACCACAGTTTATTTAAAAGAGTAAGTGGTATAAGCTGTCTAAAATGCACAGAAAAATGTGATACAAGAATCAAGGCAGTGATGAGGAAGAAAGAGGAAGAGGAGCAGGTGGGGAATAGGTTGGAGTAGTCATCCAAAGTGTTCGCTGTTAATGACTTGAGGAACGTGAACACTGAATAAGGGTTCATTGGTGTTGGTCGTGAAGGAAGTCATAGATGACTGAGGGCAAGTTATTTCCCCCCAATGACAAGCTGGGGGAAAAAGCCAAATCATCTAAAACTGAACAGTAGATGAAGGTGAAGAAGTAGAGGCAGTGAATAACAATGTCTTTTGAGAAGTTTGGTGGTAAAGGAAAGAAAAATGGGGTTGCCAGAGTCAAAATAAGTTTTCTCCAACAAACCACAACTTTGTAGACTGTTCTTTCCTGGAGGCACTTAGATGGCGAGACCAATACTTGCTCCACAGTGAGGAGACTTTGGCCAAGAAGAGGGATCTACCCAAAGTCACAGAAACACTTCAGAAAACATCTCAGACAAGACAGAAAACCTTGTTCCTTAGTTTTTGGAAAATTCTGGGCCAGAGTGTTCAGGAATTTTTGAGATAAAGTCTCACTGACCCTGGCATTCTCCCCCACCTTCCAAGCTTTTGTCATCCTTACCAGACTTACACCATCTGTAGTTATTGTTCCCTCTGCCCATGGGGTGCTATGGAAGTAACACAGTCCACAGTTTAGAGACAAAAAAATTATTATGGGAAGATTATGGGGAATCAGCACATGGATTCGGGTAATTTACCAGAAAACAGCCTCCATATCCAGAGAAGTAGGGGATCTTTGGGACCAGGGTGGGTATGAAATTTCAGGCAGCAGCAATTAACATGAACATCTACATAGGTGGTGGCTTGGAGTGCGGAGGACATTCCAGAGAGGAGACTAGCAAGCAGGACATAATTCTGTGTGAGATAATCAAGATATCAGTCAACATGATATGCCCTTTCTAAGGAGACTGAAAGCCAGAGCAGAGCGAGTGTCTTTCCCTCATTCTGCATCACACTGCTACTGCTGTCCGCTGTCCATGGTGCTGAGTCATATTCCTCCCTGGATACTGATCCACCACCTGTCCCCGGACAACAGTTTCTTGCTGTTCCCTGGTCTCTCTGTCTCTCTGTCTTTCTCTCTCATCAGCTAAGAAGGATCTTCCTTCTCACCTTGGTCTACTTCACGACGCTAGGATGCAAAATATTGCTTGATACGCTGGTTGATCAAAAGACTTATTTCCCACTTTTAATATTGGCAACACATTCACATTTATAAAACATTTTCTAGGCGGAACCAAATATGTCTGTGGCACTTCTGTGAAAGATGGCAGCCTAAAGGTATTGGTGGGGATAAAATGAGATGCCCTAAGTCTTTCAAGGTTTTGAAACTAGCTGTAAATTAGCTTTGTTGGAGCTGCATTATCCAATATGGCGACCACTTGTCACATGTGAATATTGAACACTTGAATTGCAGCCAGTCCAAATCAAAATGTGCTATAAGTATAAAATATACACCAGATATCAAAGGCTTAGTAAAAAAATAGGATGTAAAAGATTTCATTAATAAGTTTTATATTGATTACATGTTGACATGATAATACTTTGGATATATTGAGTAAATAAAACATATTGCTAAAATCAATATAATCTGTCTTTTCCCTTTTAAGTTAGCATTACTAAAAATCTCAAATTTATACATGTTTCTTGTTATATTTTTACTGGATAGCATTAATTTAGAGTACTACATAACTAAACTAATCAACCCAAGGACATAGATTCAATTACGTTCCCCATCATGGACCATATCTTCCTGGTGGCTCAATCCATCATGTGCACCCTCATCCTAAGAAAGAATGTATACAGTTCACTGCAAACTTATCCTCACCCCTCAGAG